CAATCTGGAGTCGTCTCCCTTCCCCAAATATTTTGAATATTATCAAATACTGTGTTGATATCCAATACTGGGATTGTTATCAAAGGATTTTTTCCCCTCACAGAATTCCCAGTTCCTGAGATTTTTATTTTTTTTTGTCCCAGTTTTCCTCTTTGGCTGCTTTTCTCGAGTTCCCTCCGAATCCACTTTAAGTTTAAACCTCCCAGGGTCGATCTGGGAGCTCAGAGTCCCCCCCCTACAAAAAAAGGCGATTTTTAGTTTTTGATTTTGAATTCCAGGCTCTCCCAGGATGTCCCAGCAGCAGAAGCAGCAGCAGCCGATCCCTCCCCAGTGCCAGCAGAAATGTGGCCCCGTGCCCAAGGGGGCCCAGCAAAGCCAGGCCCAGCAAAGCCAGGCCCAGCAAAGCCAGGCCCCCAAAGGCCAGGCTGTGAAGAGCATCCCACAGCAGCAGCAGTGCTGCAAGCAGAAGTAGGAGCCATCCCAAAATCTTAAAATCCTAAAATCCCAAAATCTCAAAATCTCAAAATCCCCAAATCCCCAAATCCCAAAATCTCGAAATCCCCAAATCCCCAAATCCCAAAATCTCGAAATCCCCAAATCTCCAAATTCCAAAATCTCCAAATTCCAAAATCCCCAAATCTCAAAATCCCCAAATCTCAAAATCCCCAAATCTCAAAATCCCCAAATCCCCAAATCCCAAATCCCCAAATATACCCAAATCCCCAAATCCTCAAATTCCAAAATCCCCAAATCCCCAAACCCCTAAATCCCCCAATCTCCAAATCTCCAAATCCTCAAATTCCAAAATCCCCAAATCTCCAAATCCCAAAATCCCCAAATCCCCAAATCCCAAAATCTCAAAATCCCCAAAATCCAGAAAATCCCCAAATCCCCAAAAACCCCCAAAAAATCCCCAAAAATCCCAAATCCTGCTTTTCCCACCTCTCCTGGCTCCCGGGAACGTCTCCGGACCTGCACCCGCCTGCTTTGCAGAAATTACCTCATAACGAGCTGTGCTTAATTAGCTGGAAAAAAAAAAATAATTAACGAATCGCTGGGCTGGTTTTAATTCCGAAATTAATTTGGGATCTGGCGCAATAAAATGCTGGAATGACCTCGTGCTGTTTTTTTGGTGGTTTTCTCTTTCTTTTTTATGTCCCCCCCCCCCAAAAAAAAAAAAAAAAAATTAAATTTAATCACACACAAATCTCGGTTTTTGTAAG